ACCAAGATGATGCCTCGAGTCAAAATCAGCAGCTGCAGTACACTATAGCACAGCAGCGGGAAGCGGCGGCGGCGGCACAGAGACGGCAGGGGAAGAGGTTAAACAACTCCCCCCGCGGCGGGATGTCTAGCCCCAAGGTTTACGCCCCCCTCGGAGCTCTCCGGGTTCCTGGGACCCACAGGCACTTTGGCCCCCCTGGCGCCGACCCCCAAAAGCTTTTACGGCGCCGAGGGCGGGGTGCCGATACTGCCGATGGAGCTCCTTTGAGGAAGGCCGAAAAAGACCAACGAATCCCGCAAATAAAATGCACGGCGTCAAGTGTGAACATTGAAATTCGGGTAATAAAACTTTGTCCAATTCTTCTTGAGCATGTAGTACGACCCTGGCTGAGCCGGTATCGAACTCTTGTCCTCCTCTATCCACGACCAAAATACGCCCTATCGGAGGTGAGGGGGTGAGATCGAAGTGGAACGGAGAGCCCCCCTACCGGGGAATCGGTTTCGGTTTCGTGTTCGTGCGTGCCGTGCGTGCGGGCGAGGCGAAGCTGCGTGGGCGGGCGAGAAGAAAGTCTTCTCCGGCTGAGGCGCGGCCGGACCAAATGCTTCCTTTCTGGGGGCCGGTGCCGCGCGGTGTCCCGCCGGTGGCGCGGCCTGACCAAATGTTTCCTTTCCGGGGGCCGGTGCCGCGCGGTGTCCCGCATGTGTCCCGCCAGTGTCCCGTCGGTGACCCGATGATGATGATGATGATGATGATGATGATGATGATGATGATGATGATGATAATAATGATGATGATGATGATGGTGGTGATGATGTTGATGATGATTATGATGATGATGATGGTGATGGTGGTGGTGATGGTGTCCCGATGATGATGATGATGATGATGAAAATGATGATGATGTTGACGATGTTGATGATGATGGTGATGATGATGATGGCCATGGTGGTGATAGAATGGTGACCCGATGATGATGATGATGATGATGATGTTGATGATGTTGATGTTGCTGCTGATGATGGTTGTGTCCCGATGATGATGATGATGATGATGATGATGATGATGCTCATCCTGATGATGTTGATGATGATGAGGTGATGAGATACTGATGATGAAGATGATGATGGTGTCCCGATGATGATGATGATGATGATGATGAGGTTGATGACGATGCTGTTGATGATGATGGTGGTGATGATGATGGTGTCCCGATGATGATGATGATGTTGATGATGATGACGATGATGTCCCGATGATGATGATGATGATGAATATGATGATGAGGTGGTGATGATGATTCTGATGATGGTGGCCCGATGATGATGATGATGATGATGCTGATGTTGATGATGACGATTGTGTCCCGATGATGATGATGATGATGATGATGATGGTGATAATGATGGTGACGATGATGATGGTGTCCCGATGATGATGATGTTGATGATGTTGCCGATGATGATGATGGTGTCCCGATGATGATGATGATGTTGATGATGTTGTTCATGATGATGAGGATGAGATGATGGTGATGATGATGTTCCGATGCTGATGATGATGGTGACCCGATGATGATGATGATGATGATGATGTTGACGATGATGATGTGACGATAATGGTGTCCCGATGATGATGATGGTGATGATGATGTTGATGATGATGGTGATGAGGTGATGATGATGATGATGATGGTGTCCCGATGATGATGAAGATGTTGATGACGTTGATGACGATGATGTTGATGATGATGATGATGGTGACGTTGATTGTGATATCGATAGTGAGATCGATAGTGAGACCAAATGTGAGCTCGATTGTGAGATCGATAGTGACATCGATAGTGAGATCAATTGTGGGATCGATAGTCAGATCGATTGTGAGATCGATAGTGAGACCGATCGAGTGAGACGTTGGTTCCTCCCCACCTCCGAACCTCCTTATCACCCGAAGGGTGGTCGTATAGGTAGTCATTTGCGTTCCAATACTGTCATGTCTGCTCAGCAACATTCCAGACATAACGGCCTCCATTCCTGGCGGAATAGTGTTCCACACCGCACGCCTCCTGGGACGTGGCGCCACGCAAACCCAGACGCGCGCCAGGGGGGCGCGCTGGGTGGGACCTCCTCCCACTCATGGCTGCCGCCAGGGGGCGGTGGCCGGTGCTGCCAGGGTGCGGAGCCTCTTCCTGCGGTACAACTACATCCGCAGCCTCCCCCTTCTTGCGTTGCGCGGACATTGGTGCAGGAGTCGTTGCGTCTCCCCACAAGAAAATGAAAATCCCGACTTAGGCGATGCGGCCTGCGTTAACATCAACGAAGCAGCCTCTTCTTCTTCTTCTTCTTCTTCTTCCTCCTCCTCCTCCTCCTCCTCCTCCTCCTCCCTCCTCCTCCTCCTCCTCCTCCCCCTCATCGTCATCATCACCATCATCATCATCATCATCATCACCATCATCATCATCATCATCATCATCATCATCATCATCATCATCATCATCATCATCATCATCATCATCATCATCATAATCAGCAGCATTGATATTATCCTGATCACGCAACTGCCGATGCTCCTCCTCCTCCTCCTCCAGCTGGTTCCCCTGTTTGTGAGCAGCTGACGATATAACATATCTTAATGTGTGCACACACATATATGCACATGCATATACACATGTGCTTACATATCTGTATAAAAATACATATCTATATCTATATGTATACATCCACGAAGGGACATACACCTTTGCTTTGCCTATACCTCTGTATAAAACTATGTGTATGCTTTGTTTTCAGTCGCCGTGGGACGAGCGCCCCCCATGCTGGAGAACCAATGCACGATACAGTTCTTCATCAGCCAACCCTTCCCCTCCACGCCTCCCCCTTCCCCCCGTGTCCTCTTCCTCCGTGGTGGTCATCTCGAGCTCTGGGCAGTCGCCATCTTGCAACACGACGTGTGTGCCTACGCGGGGGGGAGTGGAGGGCGCCAGGCCTCTGGCTGAGAAGGCCCCCACCCTTCATGTGCAGGTAGCTCTCGCTCGCCGGGCGAGCATCCAATGCAAGGAGCGACAAGGATTGGCGCTTGCGCATCTCAACTTACCTTGCTGCGCATCCCAGGTGCTTGTTGAAGGGCAGCCGTAAGATGCGCAATCCGCAGGCAAGTACCCCACAACAATTTGAAGCAGAACTCGTTAAAGCCGTTCAGCGGACGTCAGCCAGGATCTACCAAGTCCCCGCCAAACCTACAAGGGAATTCTGCAGCAAATCATACCAAGGAACTTGATCAGGAACTGATAATGCAAAGGAGGCCGACAAAAATCATAGAAAGACCCTACCAATCAGAACCATCCGTAAAGCCTCCCATCAACCTTCCAAAACGCAACTGTCCTTACAAGACGCTTCATAATGCTCATAAACCCAACAGAACTCACCCTAACCCGAGCAAAGACAACCATAAACAAATCATGGTGAATGGTGTTAAGCAGGACACTCGCCGTTCAACGTCCATCGCCGGCCCGAAGCAGGCATTAAAGCATGATCGACCTGATCATGAAGTGCTGCCAGTCGTCTGACTCATTCTTCTCGTAAGCATGTCGGTTTTCTCGAGGAGTCAGGAGAAAATTGAAGGAGGAATGGGGGCAAGGGACGGTGTAGGAAGGAAGGAAGAAAGAGGACGAGCACAAGGGGAAGGAGGAGGAGGAGGCGGGTGCAGGGGTAGGAGGAGGAACAGCAGCAGGGGGAGAAGGAGGAGGTATGAGGAGCAGAAGCAGGAAGGAGAAGAGGACGAGGAAGAGCAGGAGACGGAGGAGCCGGGGGACTAGAGGAGGGGGCCAGAGAGGAGATCCGCTTCCATCCCCACCCGAGAGGAGATCCGCCTTCCCTGGCGCCTCTCAATCCACTCATAGCCAATAGGTTTTAGGGCATGTACGGCATGTTGGTGGGCCAGGGAGTGAGAGAACGGGCATGGACACGTGTGGCATTTGCAAGCAGCGCGACGATGCTTGCAAGAAGTCAGGTACCTTTCAAACGAATGGTACTGACGTTTGGAGTCGCGCTGAAAAAGCAAGTGCTGAAGCTTCCAGTTGTGATGTGTTGTGCACGGCACAGACAAAGCCTGCGAATTGGACCGACGTGGCAGCGCGGAGTCGACCGAAGAGTTCACACTGTAAGTCTTGACAGAGGAAGACAGTTTGGAAGTCTTGGGTGTACAAGGCTCCCGTTGAAGGACGCCACGCCCGTGGAGACCCAGCACAGAGAGGCCACGGGATGGCGGAAGCGTTCGACTATGAAGCGAAGTCTTCTCCATCATGCTGCGTCGAGAGAAGTCGCGCCTGCTTGTTTCGTCCGTTGGCAGCTGCGTGCTCGCACTGACCTGACCAGTCAGCCATGGAACTGCCGCCTCGGGGCCATATGAAGGGGCCCTGGGACACATAAACAAGTGGCACGCGTGCCATGGCTCTTGCACAAAACGGAGGGGGAAGAAGGAAGAGGAGGAGGAGGAAGAGGAGGAGTAGGAGGATGAAGAGGAGGAGGAAGAAGAAGAGAAGGAGGAGGAGGAAAGGGGGAGAGAGAGGGGACGAGAAATCGGAGAAGTCTCGGGGGGGCGGGACGGCGGGGGCGGTGCGACGCAGAAATTTAATGGTCGGGGCGGAGGGGGGGCGGGGTGCACTGGGCGGGCGGGGAGGGGAGAACGATCGTGGGGGCGGGACGGTGGGGGTCGTGCGACGCCGAAATAAAATGGTCGGGGCGGAGGGGGTCGCGCTGGTGGTGGTGGTGGTGGTGGTGGTGGTGGGTGTGGGTGGGTGGGTGGAGGCGCGGAGGGGCGGGGCGTTGTGGGCGGTGCGACGCCGATATAAAGTGGTCGGGGCGGAGGGGGCCGGGATGCAGAGGGCACTGGGCGGCGAGGGAGGGGGGAACGGTTGGAGTGGCTGGACGGGGGGGGCGGTGCGTCGCCGAAATTGAATGGTCGGGGCGGAGGGGGGCAGGGTGGGGAGGGCACTGGACGTGGGGCGGTGTCGCGCTGGTGGTGGTGGTGGTGGTGGTGATGGTGGTGGTGGTGGTGGTGGTGGTGGTGGTGGTGGTGGTGGTGGTGGTGGTGGTGGTGGTGGTGGTGGTGGTGGTGGTGGCGGTGGTGGTGGTGGTGGTGGTGGTGGTGGTGGCGGGCAGACCGTAGCGGGCGGATCGGGAGGGCGGGCCCAGGCGGCCAGGTCGAGCAGGCGGGTTGCTGAAGCGTGAGTCCTCCATGAATCGCGAGGGAACCTCGGGGTTAGCGCAATTCCCAAGTACATCGTGACAAAGGCCAAAGCGAGAGCGCGATTCCTGAATGTCGAGGGCGCGGCGTCTGAATAAATTGCGAGAAAGTCCCGCGCGAGAGCGCGATTCCTGCATACATTGTGAGAACGTCCCGCGCGAGAGCGCGATTTTGTAATAACTTCAAAGGAAATATCCGGCGGGGGCCGCTGTTGTTGCAAAGCGGGGGCAAACAACACAATCTGAGCTCAAAGCGTTTCCCATGGAAATAACCGGGTGCGAGCACAAGGAGGAGCACTTGAATTGAAAAACGCACTGGGCACCAGGGGAGATCAGCAATAAGTATTATGTCGAAATGGGAACTCAAAAATGTCGTCGTCGCCGTCGACGTCGTCGTCATGAAAATCCTCATCATCAACATCACCATCAGCAACAGCATCAGCATCATATCATCCTCGTCGTCATCATCCTCATCGTCATCCTCAGCTGCATCATCATCATCATCAGCAGCATCATCATCATGATGATCATCATCATCATCATCATCATCATCAGCATCATCCTCATCAGCATCGTCCTCATCAGCAGCATCATCATCATTATCATCCTCATCCTTCTCCTCCTCCCCATTATCATCATCAGAATCATGTTCCTCCTCTTGGGGAGAAGTAAGACTCGGATTCGGGGGACTCGGGCGGGCCTGACGGAGCCGTCAGAAAACTAACGAGACCCCGTCTGAGAAGTTGACGCGAGCTCCTGCTGCAAACATCCCACGAAAACTGGACCGTCGAGATGCAGGACGGGCCCTTCATAAAAATCATCGGCTGACCCGAGCTCTGGCGAGCTCGAGCATCACGTCCTCCCGACCCTCCCCCCCCAAATGCCCCCGATCCCTCCCCCTCCGCCCCGCACCCTCCTCCTCCTCCTCCTCCTCCCCTCCTCCTCCTCCTCCTCCTCCTCCTCCTTCTCCTCCTCCTCCTCCCCCTCCTCCTCCCCCTCCCCCCCCTCCCTGGGGGCGAGCCTTTCTGGTGAGGGAGCGCGAGCTTCTCGTCCTGAGCACCCGGCCCCGACCCGCCGGGGGCGACCAACGGCACCGCCCCCGGCCTCGCACGCTGCGGGCCAAGCGACAGCGGACAGCGGCAGATGAGACCGCGACGAGTACGAGGGGGCGGCGCGGGAGCGCCTGCCTCCTCGTCCCAGCGATCCCCATCCCCACTGTCGTGGCCGGGGCCCCGCTGGCCGACGTACACACGGCGGGGTGCGGTGGTGCGTGCTGGTGCCCACCCTGACCCTGCGTGCCTGTGGGTGTGTGAGTGGGTCGTCGTCGTCTTCGTGGTGGTCGTGGTCATCGTCGTCGTCGTGGTGGAGGTCGTGGTCGTCGTCGTGGTCCTGGACCTGGTCGTGGTCCTGGTCGTCGTCGTCGTCGTCGTCGTGGTCGTGGTCGTGGTCGTCGTGGTGGTCGGGGTCGTCGTCGTGGTCGTCGTGGTCGTGGTCGTCGTGGTCGTCGTCATGGTGGTGGTCGTGGGTCGTCGTCGTCGTCGTGGTGGTGGTGGGACGTGGTCGTCGTCGTCGTGGTGGTCGTGGTCGTCGTGGTCGTGAGCGTCGTCGTGGTCGTGGTCGTCGTCGTCGTCGAAGTCGTCGTAGTCGTCGTCGTGGCCGTGGTCATGGTCGTCGTCGTCGTGGTGGTCGTCGTGGTCGTCGGGCGTAGTGGTGGGTCGTCGTCGTCGTCGTCATGGTGGTTGTGGTGGGTCGTCGTCGTCGTGTCGTGGTCGTCGTCGTCGTGGTCGTGGTCGTGGTCGTGGTCGTGGTCGTCGTCGTCGTCGTGGTCGTCGTCGTCGTCGTGGTCGTGGTTTTGGTCGTGGTCGTTGTCATGGGTCGTGGTCGTTGCCGTTGCCGTGGCCGTCGTCGTCGTCGTCGTGGTGTCGTCGTCGTCGTGGTCGTGGTCGAGGTCGTGGTCGTCGTCGTGGTCGTCGTGGTCATCGGTCGTGGACATGGTCGACGTCGTCGTTGTCATAGTGGTGGTGGTGGTGGATCGTCGTCGTCGTGGTGGTGGTAGGTCGTCGTCGTGGTGGTGGTGGTGGTGGTGGTCGTGGTCGTGGTCGTAGCCGTCGTCGTCGTCGTTTTCGTCGTCGTCGACGTCGTGATTGTCGTCGTCGTGGTCGTGGTCGTCGGTCGTCGTCGTGATCGTCGTGGTCGTCGGTCGTGGTCGTGGTCGTCGTCGTAATGGTGGTGGTGGTCGGTCATGGTCGTGGTGGTGGTCGTGGTGGTGGGTCGTGGTCGTCGTCGTCGTCGTGGTCGTCGTCGTCGTGGTCGTGGTCGTGGACGCGGTCGTCGTCGTGGTCGTCGGCGTCGTGGTTGTGGTCGTCGTCGTGGTTTTGATCATGGTCGTGGTCGTCGTCGGCGTCGTCGTGGTCGTCGGTCATGGTCGTGGTCGTCATCGTCGTCGTCATGGTGGTGTTCTCGGGTCGTCGTCGTCGTCATCGTCGTGGTCGTGGTTTTGGTCGTGGTCGTGGTCGTGGGTCGTCGTCGTCGTTGTCGTCGTCGTTGCCGTGGTCGTCGTCGTCGTCGTGGTCGTCGTGGTCGTCGGTCGTGGTCGTGGTTGTGGTCGTCGTCGTCAGGGTGGTGGTGGTGGGTCGTCGTCGTCGTGGTGGTCTCGCGTCGTCGTCTTAGTCGTCGTGGTCGTGGTGGTGGTCGTCGTCGTCGTCATCGTCGTCGTCATGCTGGTGGTCGTGGTCGTGGCTGTCGTCGTCGTCGACGTCGTCGACGTCGTCGTGATTGTCGTCGTCGTCGTCGTCGTCGAAGTCGTCGTCGTCGTCATCGTCGACGTCGTCGTGGTTGTCGTCGTCGTCGTGGTCGTCGTCGTACTTCCCCCATCCAATCTTGGGGGGGAGGGGGCCGCGGATCCCTGGGACCCATCCAATCGGGCGGGGGGAAGGGGGTGGCCTGCGAACCCTCGACCCGGGATCACATATGCTGTTCTGTCCGGGCTTCGTCGGGCCTATCCCCTCCTGCGGGGGTGGGCTGGCAGGGCTGAGATACCACGGCCCGGCGGACATGGGGCTGAGGGGAGACCATGCTGACCCCTGAGAAGACGAGGGGACCTCTTCGAAGGCAGGAACCTTCTCGGAAGGGCCTAGAGGCTTCCAAGGAGGCCTCTCAGAAGCCTCCCGGGCCCCTCCTGAGCGCGCCCCCGCCTTGCAAGCATCCCCTGTGCCTTCTTATTGGCCGCCCCCCCCGCGCCGTCCCCTGGTGCGCACCGCCGAGATCGAGCGGGTTCCCTCGTCGTCGATCCCCGAGGTTCGACGATCGAGAATCGAGGTGCTCTCAAACTTTTAGCCGCCCCTGGGTCTCCGGAGCCCCCATGGCGACATCCAGAACCTCTCGAAGCCTGCGGAGGCCTTCTTCTCCTCGCGGCCCCGGGCGTCCCCAGGAGGGCCCCAAAAAAGATCCCCGAGGTGGCCGCCCCGTTCCTGGCTCCGCCGGACCCCAAGAGAGCCCCAGCCAACCCAGCGCCAAACCGCGAACGGCACTGCTCCCGATCGCGAGATCGTCCGATCACGGCGATCGGCGATCGCCGACCGCGAGACCAGTCGGCGCTGAGGTCCCGTCCAGGATCCATTGCCCCTCCTCGGGGCCTACAGCGTGGATCGTGGAGAACTCGATCTGGCGGCGGGCGGGGGAGGCAGAGGCCTGGCAGGACGCAAGACGCGCGAGGCCGCCAGACGGTGGCGGGCAGGCCCCTCTAGGAGGAGGAGGAGGAGGAGGAGGAGGAGGAGCAAGAGAAACAGGAGAAAAAATTGAGGAGGAGGAAGAGGAGGAAAAGGAAAAGGAAGAGAAGGAGGCGGCGGAGGGGGAGGAGAAGGAGGAGGAGGAGGAGGAGGCGGGGCAGCACGGGCAGGCCGGAGCCCGTCCAGAGGCGGGGGAGGTAAAGGAAAGCTGACGCTCCGCGCTCGCGCCCGCGACCTGCCTACGAAAAGCAAAAGGAAAAGCGGGCGGACGACGACGATGAGCAGGAGGAGCAGCAGGAGCAGCAGGAGCAGCAGGAGCAGCAGGAGCAGCAGGAGCAGGATACTTGTTCTTGCAAACGAAGACCCCACCGCATGCACTGCATAGAACCACAGCGGAACTGTGCCACAGCGTGCGATGGAGGAACGCATGGGGACGCCATAAGGTCCATGGGCACATGCGAAAACGTAACACGAGATCTGTAGACCACGGGGGCAACGGCGGGTGAGACAAGCCCATTGAGGCAAGACCTGAGGCCAAGCCAAAAAGAGAGGGGCAGGAAGAGGAGGGGCAGGAGGAGCAGGAGCAGGACGAGGAGGAGGCGCGACGCTGGCTGCAGCGGAACGGCGGACGAGAGAGGGAAGCAAGGAAATCGCCGGCGCGTGCTCCGCACTGGCCGCGCAGCGACCGCATCGACCAGCGGCGGGTCGAGTGATGATACGGGATCAACAATACGAGATTGACAACTCCTCCCCGCGCACACATACATCGGCAGCACAGAAGATGCGCACGATCCACACTACGGTCAGAGTCTGCGCGACACTCTGTCCAGCGCCTGCAGCAGCAAAAACCTGCGGCACATGCGGTGCAGTAGTTCAAGCGGCAGCGCCCAGAGATCGATAGCAAGTGTGAAAACCTGGGCGAGTAGAACGCATGGCAAGAGGAGGAGAATGTACGAGAAGGAAAGGGAAAAGCAAGAGGCGCAGGCCTGACACGAACCGATTAAGCATCATGGAAGGATGTGAGCATAAAATGACGACTTGACAGAGAGATCGATGGATGGAGGGTAGAGCGACGGACGGACGGACGGATGGAGACAGATGGACCCCGCTGCAACCACAGGGGGGTGGGCGTTTGGGGATCAGTCACGCTGCTCATATCAGCCTGCAAGAACCCAACGACCACCCCAATAGCCCAACAAACCTCCAGGGACCCACGAACCCCTTCTAGACCCGAACTCTGCGAAACTGGTCATGCAAGCACGAATCCAGTGTGAAGGAAGAGATTGGCCTGTCGAAAAGCTTGTTCCTCTGCCACAGCCGATAAAGCGCCTCCGCCGACCCCCCAGGGCGGCCCAGGAGGGCCCAGGGAGGACCCCAAATGGGCCCCAACAGGCCCCAGAAAACAAAAAACAAATACAAAAAACAATACGGGATCGGAAGCCAAAAGACTATTGTGCGTGTGTGTGTGGGTTTTATGTTTTTCCCCATCCGTCCTACGGAGGTGGGTCCTCATGTTGAAGAGACAATCCCCGCGTTCCATTTGTTCCTTCTTTCCTCCCTCCTTTCTCCTCCTTCCACCATTGACTGTTCCCTCCGCATCTCTGCCAGTTCAGCACACCCCTAGCACGCTTCGTGGCCACATAAGAAAATCTCCACCGACTGCTCAAGTGGCAGGGTCCACGTGCGGCCCCCCGCCCAACGCATGTCCATGCCGGCGCACCCCATCACACGCCGGGTGGCCCGTTAAGAAGCTCCACCGAAGGTCCCAGCGGCAGGGTCCACGTGCGGTTCCCCGCCCACCGCACGTCCATGTCGGCGCACTTCTCACACGCTTCGTGGCCCCTCTGGGGAGCTCCACCACAGGCCCCAAGTGGAAGGGTCCACATGCGGTCCCCCGCCCACCGCATGTCCATTTCTTCACACACCTCACGTTTCCTGACCCCATGGGGACTTCCACCGCAGGCCCCCCTGGCAGGGACCACACGCGGCTCTCCGCCCAACGCATGTCCATGTCGGCACACCACCCACACGCTTCGTGGCCCCACGAGGAACTCCACCAAAGGCCCCAAGTGGAAGGGTCCACATGCGGCTCCCCGCCCACCGCATGTCCACGCCGGCACACCCCTTCACACGCGTCGTGGCCTCACGGGGAGCCCCACCAAAGGCCTCAGTGGCAAGGTCCACGTGCAGCTCCCCACCCACCGCATGTCCATGCTGGCACACCCCTCACACGTTTCGTGGCCCATCTGGGAGCTCCACCGCAGGCCCGTGGAAGGGTCCACACGCGGTTCCCCGCCCACCGCATGTCCATGTCGGTACACCCCTCACACGTTTCGCGGATATGGAGCTCCACCAAAGGCCCCAGCGGCAAGGTCCACACGCGGATCCCCGCCCACCGCATGTCCGTGCCAGAACACACCTCACACGTTTCGTGGCCCCATAGGGAGCTCAACCGAAGGCCCCAATGGCAGGGTCCACATGCGGTTCCCCGCCCGCCGCGTGTCCATGTCGGCACACCCCTCACACGCTTCACGGCCCAATCGGAAGCCCCACCGAAGGCACACCCTCCACGCGCTTCGCGGCCCCATAAGCTCACAGGGACTCCCCTGCGCTATGCCTCCAGGAGCTGCCCGACGCCTGCGCGCTCTGTCCAACGTTTTGCCCGTTGTTTGTCACCCGCGTTTTGTTGCTCCCTGCTGCGGACAACCCGCGCGCATCGCCAGGACTGCTTCGGGGCGACAGCCGCGCGCTTCGGGGACTCCGCAACGCGCGGTGCCCAAAGCCGCGGACAGTGGGGCGCAAGGACTCACAGGGGGGAAATACGAGAGAAAGAAATCCGGGTCACCGCCGGCCAGGCGGGCCAGAACGCAACGCCGCATACTGGAAACAAGGAGAGTAGTGAAAGAGCTGGGATGGTAGTGGGCACGAAAAAGCGGCGCACGGGGCTCGCGCCAAACAGCGTATTCCTCTGCGAACACAACGGCTGTTCTCCCCCAATCAACGCCGCAGCCCGTCTGCTTGCCCCCTCCTCCTTCTGACCCGCCCCGTGATGCTCGAAGCTGCTTATGGCTGGGCCCTTCGCCAGGATAATTCCCAACCATCCAGTGTTGTCGGGCCGTCGTTATTCGTGGGCGCGCAAACATGGATTAGCGATCCATTGATTTGGCGCGCGGTCGCCAAATCCATGGATCGGGGGAGGCGCCCTCCCCAAAATGCGGCCGGTGCCGCCTCGCTCGGCGGCGACAATCCGCGATTTCCCATGGAAACAGGACCCGTCGCTAATCCACGCCCTCTTAATCCATGTTTGCGATCGCCTGATCTTTCTAACCCGCCCCGTGATGCTCGAAGCTGCTCATGAATGGGCCCTTCGCCAGGATAACTCCCAACCATCCTGTGCTGTCGGGCCGTCGTTCTGAAGAGACAGTGCCCCGCGTCCTTCCTCCTCCTCCTCCTCCTCCTCCTCCCCCTCTTCCTCCCCCTCCTCCCATCCCTGTCTCTGCCCTCTGCATGTCGACCTGTTCGGCACACCCTTCGCTCACCCTCGCGGCCCACTCGGGAGCTCCACCGGATGCCCCAGTGGCAAAGTCCACATGGGGCTCCCCCGCCCGGTGCAGCGGTTCGCGGCCCATTGCGAGCTCCATCGAAAGCCCCAGTGGCAAAGTCCACATGCGGCTCCCATGCCCAATACAGCGGCTCGTGGCCGCACAGGGAGCTCCACCGAAGGCCCCAGTGGCAGCGTCCACATACGTCTTCCACACCCACTACAGCGGCTCGTGGCCCACAGGGAGCTCCACCCAAGGCCCCCGTGGCAAGTACACATGCGTCTCCCCGTCCCAGCACACCGCTTCGTGGTCCACCTGGAGCTCCACCGAAGGCCCCAGTGGCAGGGTCCACATGGGGCTCCCCCACCCAGCACAGCGTTTCGTGGCCCCATGGGGAGCTCCACCGAAGGCCCACATGGCACAGTCCACATGCGTCTCCCCACCCCAGGACAACGCTTCGTGGCCGCATAGGGAGCTCCACCGAAGGGCCCAGTGGCAAAGTCCACATGCGACTCTCCCACCCTGTACAGCGGCTCGTGGCGCATAGGGAGCTCCACCGACGACCCCAACTGCAAAGTCCACATGCGTCCCCCCCCCACACACACACACACACACACACACACACACACACACACACACACACACACACACACACACACACACACACACACACACACACACACACACACACACACAGAGTACAGCGTTTCGTGGCCCATGGGGAGCTCCACCGAGGGCTACAGTGCAAAGGCCTCAGAGGCTGCGTCCACATGCGTCTCCCCCTCCCAGTACACAATTTCGTGGCCCAGAGGGAACTCCACCGAAGGCTCCAAGGCAAAGTCCACATGCGCCTCCCCCACCCAATCCAACATTTCGTGGTCGCAGAAGGAACTCCGCCGACGAAGGGAATATGTGAAACTCTTGCTGAGACGCATGTGCGCAGCTCCCCCACACAATACAACGGCTCGTGTCCGCATATGGAGCTCCACCGAAGGCCCCAGTGGCAAAGTCCACATGCGTCTCTCCCACCCACTACACCATGTTGTGGCCGCATAGGGAGCTCCACCGAAGGCCCCAATGGCAAAGTCCACATGCGTCTCCCCCACCCAGTACAGCGTTTCGCGGTCCATAGGGAATTCCACCAAAGGCCCCAGAGAAAAGGTCCACATACGTTTCCCCCACCCAGAACAGCGTTTCGTGGCCCACAGGGAGCTCCACCCAACGCCCCAGTGGCAAAGTTCGCATGCGTCTCCCCCACGCACTACAGCTTTTCGGGGCCCATAGGGAGATCCACCGAAGACGATACCCAAAAGTGCGATACTCACAACTGCAAATGGTTGGGTCCTTCACAAGGCTAATTGTAAGGGGGGGGAAAGAAAAAGGAAGAGTGAGCAAGGAAGAAGGAGGAATAGGAGGGGCGGGGGGAAGGGAGGGGAGAAAGGAGCAAGATGGACAGAGGAGGAGAGAGAGTAACCCCGGCCTTGTCCGCAGTCTTGGCGCAGATTTTCAGCCTGTCTCCGACCCGGAGGGACTTCCAATCCTGGGCGAGCTGGCGAATTGAGCGCGACACCATTGTGGCGCCCATCGATCTATGCATCCCCCTCCTCGGCCTCCGTTCTACCCCTCCTCCACCTCCCCCTCCACCTCATCCACCTCCAACTCCTCCATCTCACCCCCACCTCCCACTCCTCCCTTCTTCTCCTCCCTCCCACCATCGACCGCCTCCCCATCATCGTTCGCATCATCATTTGCATAGCCAGCAGCAGCAGCAGCAGCAGCAGCAGCAGCAGCAGCAGCAGCAGCAGAACAACAACAACAACAACAACAACAACAACAACAACAACAACAACAACAACAACAACAACGACGACGACGACGACGACGACGACGACGACGACGACGACGACGACGACACTGACAACGACAACGACAACAACAACAACAACAACAACAACAACAACAACAACAACAACAACAACAACAACAACAAGGTTGACACGTGCTCTTGTTGCCCGTTCACCGGGAAACTTGGTCAATGCTTGTCCTTATCGGACAACCCGTGACCTTGCACCCTGGGGGTAAGCAACCCCCCCCGGCAACCAGCAACCAACAGCCTCGGGCTCCACTCCTCGCCCCGCTGCAACTTCGCTTGCTTAAGGGTGTGAGCTCCTCCTTCATGCAATGTTTCCATGTCTGTACCAGCGAAGCTCAAGAATCTATCGGCTCCTATATGATCATATAGAACCTTATGGGATCCTATAGGGATCCTATAGGGATCCGACCGGGATCCTATGCGACCCTATAGGATCCTATAGAATCCAATATTTATTCTATAGGGATCCCATGCGATCCTGTAGGATCCTGTAGGAACCGAAAAGGGATTCTAAAGGAATCCCATGCGACCCTGCCGGATCCTATAAGAATCGTATAAGGATATTATAGGAGTCCCATGCGATCCTATACGATCCTATGGGGACTCTATACGATCATATACGGATCCTATAAGATCCGACTGGAATCCTATAAGGTACCCATGCGATCCTGTAAGATCCTCTGGGGATCGTATAGGGATCGTATAGGATTCCCATGCGACCCTGCCGGATCCTATAGGAATCGCATAGGAATCGTAAAGCAATCCCATGCGATCCTACAAGATCCTGTGGGATCCGATCGATGGAGATTGTATAGGACTCCCCTACGATCCTGTAGGTCCTATAGGGATCCTATAGGGATCCTATGCGACCCTATGCGATCCGATAGGGATCCTATAGGACCCTGTGGGAATCCTCTGGGAATCCCATGCGACCCTGTAGGATCCGATAGGGATCCTATAGGGATCCGATCGGGATCCTATGCGACCCTACAGGATCCTATAAGGATCCGATCGGGATTGTATAGGAATCCCATGCGGTCCTGTAGGATCCTTTAGGGATCCCATAGTGATAGCATCGGAACCCCATGCGATCCTATAGGGATCCTATAGGGATCCTATACGGATTGTATATTAATCCCATGCGGCCCTGTAGGGTCCTATAGGGATCGTATTGGGATTATAAAAAGGAACCCCATGCGATCCTATAGGATCTTATGGAACTCGTACAGGGATCGTATAGGAATCCCATGCGATCCTGTAGGTTCTATAAGGATCCGATAAGGATTGTTGAATAACCCCATGCGATCCTATAGGATCCTATAGGGACCCGATAGGGATCCGATCGGGATCCGATGCGATCCGATCGAAATCCTATAGGAGCCCCATAGGGATTTTATAGGAATTCCATGCGGTCCTGCAGGATTCTGTAGGAATCGTACAGGGATCGTAAAGAAATCCCATGCGATCGTACAGGATCCGATGGGAATCGCACAGGGATTGCATAGGAATCCCATGCGATCCGATAGGGATCCTGTAGGATCCTGTGGGAATTCTTCAGAAATCCCATGCGATCCTGCAGGATCCTACAGGAATCGTTTTGGGATTGCATAGGAACCCCATACGATCCTATAGGATCCTACACGAATCGTATACGGACTATAAAATAATCCCATGCGACCCTGTAGGGTCCTATAGGAATCGTATAGGCATTATAAAGGAATCCCATGCGATCCTATAGGATCCTATGGGGATCGTATAGGGATTGTATCGGAATCCCATGCGATCCTATAGGGGATTGTATAGGGCCACGGCCACGATCCTCGAGAGGGTTGTGCCGAAATGAAACTTCGGTCGACTCCTTGTGGGGCCAGGGCCACGATCCTCGAGAGGGGTGCGCCGAAATGAAGCTTCGGTGGAGCTCCCAGTGGGACCAGGGCCACGATCATCGAGACGGGTGTGCCGAAATGAACCTTCGGTGAAGCTCCCTGTGAGGCCAAGGCCACGATCCTAGAGAGGGGTGTGCTGCAATGAACCGTCGGTTGGTGGTTGCTGGTTGCTGGGGGGGTGGGGGGGGCGGGCAACAAGGTCACGTGTCAATCGACAACAACAACGACGACAACAACAACAACAACAACAACAATCATTTTACCCGAACGCGTGGTGTTCTCCCCAGTGCCAGGGTTTTCATACGACACCAGGCAATACCCCCACTTCGTGGGGGGGCATTACAAGCTCTACCAAATATCCAAACGACTCTTCGCGACCACCCAAACCCAGCTTCCCGCCCTATGACGTTGGGACACTTCACTTCGTGGCGTGCGGACGACCGTGGCTACTACACTGGCGTGGGGTACACACCCACAGAACTTGGTCACTTATTCAGGGCGCGCATGTGCCCAGCATGGTGCAATTGTGTCATACAATACATAATACAGAGAGACAGAGAGAGAGACAGAGAGCAGACAGAGAGAGAGACAGAGAGAGCGGAGTTGGTCACATTTTTTGGTCAAGTTCCTGGGAAAAAACGAATGTGTCCCGCATGGTATTATTTGACAGGGATGATGGCCCTGGCAGGTGCGCAACCGTTGTCGCAGAAGTTCGAAAAAGTTGCTCGCAAAAGCCCGTTTGACAGAAATGTTTAAAAAGTGTTGGTTTTCCTACGAATCCGCAAGAGCGCGCGGGATGAGATTTTGACATTTTTTTGTTGAAAAACCATTGGTTTTTTGATGTTTTTATGTTAAAATCGCTCCGAACACTAAGCTTTTGGAAGGATTTCGTCTTGCGCGCGCGAATGTCCACTTTACCTTATTTTTTGCAAGGGATTCTTGAAATTTGATTATATTAGAACAAGAAATGTCATTTTATAGTGTTTTTTGCAAGGGAAAACGGATTACAACAAAACAACCTGATCTGGATGACATCGAATTACCTGAGGCTTCCTCACGAAAATGATGAAAACGTGGCTGCGGCCTAGGCGCGGCGGGGGGGGCGCGCACCAGGGGGCCCAACAATAATTATTCTTTAGAATTAATAATGTTCAACAACAACAACAACCACAACCACAACCACAACCACAACAACAACAACAACAACAACAACAATCAGTTGACCATCATGCGTGATGCTTCCACACGCAGCATGCGACCATCATGATAACCATCCCCCATCATGGGGGATGATCGTTCTATCGCGGGGGTCCGTTATTCCCATTCCCAGATTTCCCGCCCAATGGGGTCTTGCAAACACCTCCTCCGAGGAATTTCAACATATCCCGCCTAGAAAACACATGCCCGCGCCCTGCTGTGCCGATGCGAGACCGCCAGCGGAGCCCCAGCCAAGGGTGAAGCACAAGGAAGTATCGAGCGACAGGATTGGTTTGGTGGGGATGGGGGCTGTCGGCGGCGAGGCAAGGACCTGGCCCTGAATAGGAAGGGAGGGTGTCTCGAGCAGCGGTGCTGTTGTTGCTGGGAGCGGCGCCAATGCAGAAGAAGTAGGGCGCTAGTCCAGCGTGAAACAACACGAAGTCTCGAGCGGGATCGCTGGTTCTGTTGGGACGGCGATTGTCAGCGGCGAGGAGGAACACCGCCTTGAGTAAGGAGGGAAGAAGTCTCGAATGGGAGCCGCGATTTTGTCGGGACGGGGGCTGTCGGCGGTGAGGAACAGCACCGTCTTCAGGAGAAAGGGAGGAAACCTCGAGCGGGAGCGTTGTTCTTGCTGGGGGCAGCGCCATTTCAAAAGAGAGTTGGGCGCCAGTCCTGCGTAAAATGGGAGAAAGTCTCGGGCGGGAGCGCTGGTTTTGTTGGGGCGGCGGTTTTCGGCGGCGAGCAGAAGCACCGGCTCTGGGAAAAAAAAGAAGTCTCGAGCGGGAGCGTGGTTCTTGCTGGGGCTGGCGCCGATCAGAGAAAGAGAAGCGCGCCAGTCCAAGGTAAAACGGAAAGAAGTCTCGAGCGGGAGCATGGGTTTTGTTGGGACGGCGGTTTCGGCGCCGAGCAAGAGCACCAGCTCTGAGGTCTCGAGCGGGGGCGGTTTTCGCGCCCCCCAAACCGCTCGAGCGTGAGCTTCATTTCAATGAAAATGTAGCCAGCGCCGAGGCGAGAGCGCCAGAGCGCCCGGGGGGGTCCAACAATAATAATTGTTTAGTAATTAACAAACAACGACAACAACAACAGCCACAACAACCACAACAACAACAACAACCACAACAACAACAACAATCATTTTACCCGAACGCTCAGTGTTCTCCCCAATGCCAGGGTTTTCTTGCGACACCAGCCAATACCCCCACTTCGTGGGGGGGCCGTTCAAGCTCTACCAAATATCCAAACGACTCTTCGAGACCACCCACACCCAGCTTCCCGCCCTATGACGTTGGGACACTTCACTTCGTGGCGTGCGGACGACCCTGGCTACTACACTGGCGTGGGGTACACACCCACAGAGGTTGATCACATCTGTTACATATGATGTGGTACACGGTACACGTGAGATGGTACGCAGTGCCAAGATAGTTGGTCACATTTTTGGGGCAAATTCGTGGGGATGCGATTACAGAAGTACATGTGTTACACTGATGTTATACAGTCCCAAGGATGACGCATGCATTGCTCATAGACTCATGGCGCTATGATCCTAACTCTCAGTGCCCAACGCGCGCGTGCACAGCCAGA